CAATTCTCTGTGCAGCTGCATGGATTTTTGTGTGGGTCCGCAGCGGCACCACCCGCACGGATGTGAACCGGGGGTAAATGCCACCTCGATTGCAAGGTGGTTGCAGTGTGACCCTATAGACCTGCAGCAGTTACATTCAGCGGACAAAACAGTGACATGCTTTTTATTTTTGGCATGTGTACACCCATGACAGGTTGTATGTCCCAGTTCAGGTGGGCAGTAAAACCACAGCTCAATTTCCTGGTTGTATTGCCCCACCTGGCCACGTGTGAATGAAGCCTAAGCGTTTGCTTGTGCCATCGCCATATTGCGATTTTGTTAATACCAGTCTCCTTGCATGAGAAAATCCTTCCCTAGGTCATACTGTTTAACCCCACTATAAAGAAAACTTTATGTGGGGGAATCTCAACTTTTTCCAACTTCAGAATGATCTTTTGATTGTTTTTTTGATGTCTGATACTTACAGTCCAATCGTATGATCTTATACAAGCTACAGCTGAAGGACTGGAGTTCATGTCTGCCATTACTATATCTTCAAGGCGTTCTGTTTGTGATATGTGTTGGGAGAATAGCAGGATGTCACAATTAATTAACATGCAAAGTAACCACTTTATCCGGCTATATTCAATGAGAAAGATACATTTCACTTTAATTACTATATATTTTGAAGTACGGAGCCTGCAAGGATATAGGTTCCTAGGTTAGATTCTCAAGTAATATTAAAGTGTTACTAAACCCGCAACAGTACAATCAGTCTGTATATACAGTAAAGCATGCTTGTTATACTCACTGTGGAACCTAAGGGGTTATTCCTCTGCATTGTGTAAAAAGGCTGTTTGATCCTGTCTTCTCTGCCCCTCCTCTTGTTGAAATGACAACCTGATACAGACTGAACCCATGGTCACATGCTCAGTTTGGAGTGTATTGCTAGAGAGGTTTTGCTTTTTCTTGGGAGAGTGCATGTGATCAGCATTGTCCAGACAGAGGTCAGGGGTTTCACATCCTCCTAGAGCAGAAAGAAAACTCCTCCTACAAGCTTTAACCAGTGCTCTGCTGGAGTCACAAGACTGCTCTATACTGCAGATGAGAAAAGGTATTTAGCAGCTTATATTTACTAAAATTATTTCATTTCCATGTTTGTGTACTGTGGGAGACCAGATATAGTTAATGCAGGGGCCTGGGAGACCAGATATAGTGAATGCAGGGGCCTGGGAGAGCAGATATAGTGAATGCAGGGTCCGGGGAGAGCAGATATAGTGAATGCAGGGTCCGAGGAGACCGGATATAGTGAATGCAGGGTCCGGGGTGACCAGATATAGTGAATGCAGGGTCCGGGGAGACCAGATATAGTGAATGCAGAGTCCGGGGAGACCAGATATAGTGAATACAGGGTCCTGGGAGACCAGATATAGTTAATGCAGGGTCCGGGGAGACCAGATCAGATATAGTGAATGCAGGGTCCGGGGAGACCAGATATAGTGAATGCGGGGTCCGGGGAGACCAGATTTAGTATCACTTTCAGTCAAGTATATTGATAACATACAGTATATGGTGATGTGTGGCACCTTTGGACTCTTGTGTTTGAATACATCCTAAGGCGGTCATTATACCAAGGGAACTTTATTACCAAGGGGGCTATATACTGTATATATACAGTGGGGATCGAAAGTTTGGGCACCCCAGCTAAAAATTTGTATTACTGTGCATAAAGATTCAAAATAACAGAAAACAAAAAAATGGCGATCGTGCAGTCAAACGTGGGTTTTGAATTGTTTTTCTCACAATCCTGCGAGCTGTTCTGTCTGATATTTTTCTTGGTCTTCCAGATCTTGCTTTAACTTCCACTGTTCCTGATGACTGCCATTTCTTAATTACATTCCAAACAGAGGATATTGACATCTGAAAACGCTTTGCTGGCTACAAAAAGCGTTTACAAGCTGTGATACTTGCCAAAGGGGGCAGTACAAGATATTAACTCTGCAGGGTTCCCAAACTTTTGCAGACGCCATTTTTTTGTTTTCTGTTATTTTGAAAGTGTAAACGATGGAAATAAAATCTAACTTTTGTTGACATATTATAAGAATGTCTAATCTGTAATTTGATGCCTTTTGGAGATTTTTCCATCTTTCCTTGGCTTCTTTATGCACATTAATACAAATTTTTAGCTGGGGTGCCCAAACTTTCGATCCCCACTGTATGTGTATATATATATATATATATATATATATATATATATATATATATAATAATTACTGTGCAAATGCCTTTAAGCATTCATACAGACATCATGCATAATCACTGTATTAGTACAGGATAAATTTATTTCCTATGATCATCAGCACCACCTAGAGGAGTGGAGTAATACAAAGCTTTCCCTAAACACCTCAACCAAGGAAATACTACATTGGGGGAACTAGGTGAAGCTGACAATCACAGGAAATAAACATATCATTCAATATACTGCACACAATACAGCAATTATTTGCGACAGCAGTGTGAATGCTTAAAGTGGAAACACACTGCTTCTAAGCACCACAAAGCAAAAAAAAAAAGCTATTTAATTCATTATTAATATTCAACGCAAACTCCCTCATCCATCCATGTCTCCATGCTTTATTTTGCTGAGAAATAATTTTGAAAATCACCCTTCTAGCATTTTTGACCGTGGCCATCTTGAGTAAGGGCAGATAATTCATGTAGCATTTACTTCCTGGAATCCAATTGCCCTTAACATTGGCTAAGCTGAGAACCCTCCCTCCCCTCCTGAAGACTCCTGGGATGTGTGACATCATTTGCATAGGCATGGAAACCAGGAAGTAACTGAAGAAATGTGGAAAAAAAAAAAGCTTAAAATAGTAAACATGATATGCTTTCCTATCTATTTACTAATGCTGGCAGCATAAGGATTACAAATAGTCAATGTTGACTGCAAGAGTGAAGTTATACTTTAAGGTATTCACACAGCAATTTTTTTTTTTACCTCTTCACGCCGGCCGCACACAAATGTGCGGTCTCCCGACGTCTGGGCCTAGATGCCGAGCAGCCGCACATTTGCGGTCTATTAACCACTTCCTGTCCGGACACTTTTATCCCCTTCCTGTCCAGGCCAATTTTCAGCTTTCAGCGCTATCACACTGTGAATGACAATTGCGCGGTCATGCAACACTGTACCCATATGAATTTTTTGCCATTTTTTTGAGACAAATAAAGCTTTATTTTGGTGGTATTTATTCACCGCTGGGATTTTTATTTTTTTGCTATGTAAATGAAAAAGTCCAAACATTTTGAAAAAAAAGTGTTTTTCTTATAAAATTTTGCAAATAAATAATCTTTCATCGTAAATGTTGGCCAAAATGTATTCCATTATCTTTTTAGTAAAAAGAAAAATAAGCCAAAATTAGTTTATAACCAAAAATTATAATTTTTAAACATTTTTTTTACATTTTTATATTATTATTTATGTTTTTTTTTATTACATACTGTACTACTTGTGGGGAGTGATTTTTTTTTTTTTTTTTTTTTACAGTGATTGCTTTTACACCCATATAGGATGTAAAAGCAATCATTTCTTTCTCTCTGTCTGCATTCTTGCAGCCATTGAGAAGTACTGAGTGAGCTGTGATTGGTCACAGCTTGTCACATGGTACAAGGCTGTTGTGAATAGCCTTGTACCATGTGACCTCTGTGATCATTCACAGATTTCACACGTAGTAAGCAATGATGTCAGAAGTGACATCTTGCTTACTACTTTGCATGTGATCACTGATTGGCCAATCAGTGATCACATGATTGGGACCTCGTACAGAGGTCCCGTCCGATGATCGGTGTTTCACTGTGTCCGGAGAACACAGCGGGCACCGGATTGCGGTGCTGCGCGCTCCCAGGGAGCGCGCACAACTAGAAATAGTGGGTGCCGTTTATGAACGGCAACCCACCCCTGGAGTGCCACCGTCCTGCCGTTTATAAACAGCAGGCTGACAGCAAGTGGTTAAAAAAGGACATATGTGCCCAGAGCGCGCGCCCTGCACGCTCCCAGCACACATGTCCGGTACTCACGGAAAGGTCCCAATCTCCTCTTTCGATCGGGACCTTTCCCGATCATGTGACCGCTGTGCGTCACGGCGGTCACATGATTCTAAACCCCGCCTCCCGGAACCCTTAAAGGGCCGGGAGGCGCCGGCATGAAGGGGTTAACTTCAGTCGATCCAGAATACGGCAGCCAGACTCATTCACCTTTCCAACCGCTCCGTCTCCGCCACCCCCCTCTGCCAAACCCTCCACTGGCTTCCGATTGCCCAACGGATCAAATTCAAAATCCTAACACTGATGTACAAAGCCGTCCACCATACTGCCCCGAACTACATCACTGACCTAATATCCAAGTACCGCTCAAAATGCACACTTCGCTCCTCACAAGACCTCCTTCTCTCTAGTTCCCTGGTCTCCTCCTCCCATGCCCGCCTCCAGGACTTCTCCAGGGTGTCACCCATCCTCTGGAACTCCCTGCCCCAACCCATCAGATTATCACCTATTCTCCTCTCCTTTAGGTGCACCCTGAAAACCCATCTCTTCAGAGAAGCCTACCCCACCCCCTAACTTGCCGACCTCCTCCACTCTTCCTACCACTCCATCCCCCACAGCCATCTCCTCCTGTACCACCATCCCCTCCCTCCTAGATTGTAAGCTCCAAGGAGCAGGGCCCTCGATCCCCTCATGTTTTGCATTGTATTGGTATTGTTCTGTCACATGTTCTGTCCCCCTTTGTAATGTACAGCGCTGAGCGGACCATTGGCACTTTATAAATATTGTATAATAATAATCTCTGTGTATCACCTGAGGCCAGTCACGTCACTGGATATATGTACGGGTTTACAACCACTTTAAATAGCCATTTAATCTCATTGGAATATTTCAATGATTGGTCGATCTGGCAACACCTTTTTTTTTTTAAGAAATTAGCATTTTTTTATAAATACCAGCAAACATCTTTAATTTATCACTTAAAAAAAAAAAAAACAATTTTCCAGAGTGGAAGTTTTTCTTCCTTGCAGTCTAAGTCTTCTGTCCCGAATCTTCGGCCACCTCAAACTGCTGCTTCGGTTTAGTGGCCTCCTGCAGGAGTTCATGTAACTGTCCAATCTGCTCTTCACTAAATAAATCCAGCTTCTCTTCTGATAGGCTGGCTCCGTACGGCATCTTCTGTGTGTCTGGATTCTGGAGACAGGATTTGGCTTGTTCCCACAACATTGCAGCATAACTCTGGGGGGGAAAAAAAAAAAGATCATCTGGTGATTCCAGTATCTATGAAACGGTAACAATTGTTCAAGGAGGTAAAAAATTCAAAGAGAATTGCTTCCCTGTCACAACCCGCGCCGGTTCAAAGAAAGCCTGTGATGAAAAATTGTATCAACGCAGGTTACCTTCTGTACAATCTACAATCAGGAAGCTGAAGCCAAATGCAAACGTTGACTTTTACAGTACTAGTCGAATTTGGCCCTGCCCCTGCTTAATTTTAAAATGCTTTTATTGGTTAAAGAAGCTACATATCAAATTACAGGATAATAATGGGGCCAAGGAGACAGAAGGGGGGGGGGGTCAAAACTCGACTTATGCAGGAAAAGTATATAAAAAGTTATAATTTCAGATTTTTATCTGCCTTTTTGAAATGCCATTTTCACTTAAAGTGTTACTAAACCCACAGCAGTAAAATCAGTCTGTATATGCAGTAAAGCATGCTTGTGATACTCAGTGTGGAACCTAAGGGGTTAATCATCTGCATTGTGTAAAAAAGAAGTTTGATCCTGACTTCTCTGTTCCCTCTCTTTTTCAAGCGACCACCTCTTATCTCCTGATAAGACAGACTGAACCATAGGCATTTGCACATGCTCAGTTTGGTACGTATTGCTAGAAAGATTTTTTTTTTTCTTGGGAGAATGCATGTGATCAGCACAGGGCCAATCAGCACTGGTCAGAGGTCAGGGGTTCTGCATCCTCCTAGAGCAGAAAGAAAACTCCTCCTTCAACCTTAGCTAGTGCTGGGCTGAACACTGATAGAAGCCACAAGACTGCTCTAACTTCTGATGAGAAAAGGTATTTAGCAGTTTATATTTACTAAAATAATTATATTTCCATGTTCTGTGTACTGTGGAACACCAGATATAGTGAATGCAGGGTCCGGGGAGACCAGATATAGTGAATGCAGAGTCCAGGGAGAGCAGATATAGTGAATGCAGGGTCCGGGGAGACCAGATATAGTAAATGCAGGGTCCAGGGAGACCAGATATAGTGAAATGCAGGGTTCTGGGAGACCAGATATAGTGAATGCAGGGTTCTGGGAGACCAGATATAGTGACTGCAGAGCCCGGGGAGACCAGATATAGTCAATGCAGGGTCTGGGGAGACCAGATATAGTGATTGCAGGGTCCGGGGAGAGCGGATATAGTGAATGCAGGGTCCGGGGAGACCAGATATAGTGATTGCAGGGTCCGGGGTTCTCCCAGAGCGCGGATATAGTGAATGCAGGATCCAGGAAACTGGATATAGTGAATGCAGGGTCCAACATTCACAGCCTTTGCTCAATACTTTGGTGCTAAAGGTGCTTCAACAGATGAACAGTCTAAGCTCTGGATTACAGCCTCAAGTCATTTTGAGTATAATGTTAGAAGCTTGGATAAACACACCACCCAAACTCTCTTTGGGAAGTTCTCCCATTCTTCTTTGCAGTACCTCTCAAGCTCCATCAGATTGGATGGGGAGTGGCAGTGCACAGCCATTTTCAGATCTCTCTAGAGATGTTCAATCGGCTCTGGCTGGGCCACTCCATGACATTCACAGAGTTGGCCTGTAGCCACTCCTTTGTTATGTATCTGTGTGCTTAGGGTTCTTGTCCTGTTGAAAGATGAACCGTTGCCCCGCCACGTCTAAGGTCCACAGTGCTCTGGAACAGGTTTTCATCAAGGATGTCTCTGTACATTGCTGCATTCATCTTTCCTTCAATCCTGACTAGTCTCCCAGTTCCTGCCGCTAAAAAACATCCCCACAGCATAATGCTGCCACCACAATGCTTCACTGTAGGGATGGTATTGGCCAGGTGGTGAGTAGTGCCTGGTTTCCTCAAGACATGACGCTTGGCATTCAGGCCAAAGAGTTCAAGCTTTGTTTCCTCAGACCAGAAAGTTTTGTTTCTCATGGTCTGAGAGTGCTTCAGGTGCCATTTGGCAAACTCCAGGTGGGCTGCCATTTTCCTTTTTACTGAGGAGTGGCTTCCGTATGGCCACTCTACCATACAGGCCTGATTGGTGGAGTGCTGCAGAGATGGTTGTTCTTCTGGAAGGTTCCCCTCTCTCCACAGAGAAACGCTGGAGCTCTTTCAGAGTGACCATTGGTTGCTTGGTTACCTCCCTGGCCCTTCTCCCTCAATCACTCGATTCCTGATGATTCCAAACTTCTTCCATTTACGGATGATGGAGGCCACTGTGCTCATTGGGACCTTCAATGCTGCAGAAGTGTACCCTTCCCCAGATCTGTGACTTGATACAATCCTGTCTTGGAGGTCTACGGACAATTCCTTGGACTTCATGGCTTGGTTTGTGCTCGGACATGTACTGTTAACTGTGGGACCTTATCTAGACAGGTTTATGCCTTTCCTAATCATGTCCAATCAACTGAATTTCCCACAGGTGGACCCCAATCATATTGTGGAAACATCTCAAGGATGGTCAGTGGGAACAGAATGCACCAGAGCTCAATTTTGAGTGTCATGGCAAAGGCTGTGAATACTTATGTACGTGTGGTTTTTTTTTCGTTTTTTATTTTTAATAAATTGCAAAGATTTCAAAACAAACTTCTTTCACGTTGTCATTATGGGGTATTGTTTGTGGAATGTAGAGGAAAAAAAATTAAATTAATCAGTTTTGGAATAAGGCTGTAACATAACAAAATGTGGCAAAAGTTAAGCTCTGGGAATACTTTCTGGTTGCAGTATACATTTCAGTATAGATACATGTTACGTAAATGTCAACCTCCCAAGAAATATAGGAAAGTTGCTCTCTGGCAGGAAGTATTATAAATATCCACATTAATCTACCCCTCTGCTAAGTAACAAAACAATCTCACTCCGGCACACATACAGAAAAACAAACATATATTTGGAAATGATGATCCCTGACAGGCAGTTCAGTGACTGTGTCCATCTGTTCTAACAAGAAAAGGTGCTGACAAAAAGACATGAATTTTTTATAGGATGTTGCTATTTGCAGCTCCTGTTTGTTACAGCTACTCGCCAGAAAACACATAATGGATGGAGGTGTAAAAAAAAAAAAAAACCAAAACACACAATAGTAAGTTAAAGCTCCATCACCATCATAGGTCATGGTATGCAATCCAAACCCCCAACTCAGGTAATATTCTCTACCAAAAAGTAGAAGAAAAGGCAACAGAGTTCAAAATGGTACCTCTATGATTGACTGATGGACCGACTTCAGTACAAGCAGCCTGCCCATAGATGAGTCGAATCTTGGCCAGCGCCTGCTGAACCAGCCAAGATTTGATCCATCTATGGCCAGCTTAACTCTCCCTGCTTGTCCTTTCCCCAGGTAGCGGTAGATGGAAGCCTTCAAACCATTGTGAGCGTTCTTAGACACAAAAAACACCTTCCCAGAGATGACATAGGCTGGCCATAGAAGGATCAAATATTGGCTGGTTCAGCATGGACCAGTCGAGATTCGATCAATCTATGGGCAGGCTGGCTGTACTGAAGTCGAAAAATCGACTTCCAGTACAGCCAGCCTGTTGGATCTTTTTAATGCACTCACTGCCAAGGCACCCCTGAAGAACCCTAAAGGCACCCCAGGATTCCTGGGCACTCTAGTTGAAAAAAGCTGCCATGCATCCCAGTGCACCCCCCCCCCCCCCCTTACCTTGTGCTGCTGTCAGGAAGAAGCTGGGATTAAGCTGGGAAGCAGAAAGCACAGGGTCTGGAGGACTGGAGTCAGCTGCCAGAGTCTGATGACTGTTGAGACCAGGGGAGTCAGAGACAAGGGGGTGCTGCGGCTGCACAGAGAGGCACGGGATCTGTAGGAGTTCCGTCCTCCTGTCTGATACCAATTGCTGAGACGGGGGAGGGGGGAAGAGCAGAGATGAGCCTCTCTGCGGCTGCACAGAGAAGCGCAGGACCTGGTGGAGGAGTTCTGTCCTCCTCTCTGTTAATAAACTGTTGAGACAAGGTGTGGGTGGAGATGAGCGGGGTGCCGCAGCTGCAGGAGGGTTGAGAGGGCTATGAAATGGTCTGGCAGACCGGATTCGGCCCACGGGCCTTGTGTTTGACATATGTGCCTTAGTTCTATTAACACCCACAGCATCAGAAGATTATGGTAGGGGAGCTGAGGGGGCATCAAAGGAGGTAGATTACACAGCCGCACAAGGGACACATCATACTGAAGGTAATATCCCTTGTGCTTATTTTTTATTTCTTTTAACTAAACATAGGCTTAAATTTGTATATTTTAGATCTTCCTTTAGTTCAACTTTAATTTCCTTGATATAATAAGCTGCTACATTCCTTTTCTGCTGAAATTTTGCTTTGGTAATTTTAGGTTTTACCTTACTGAACTTTTCCTTATATTGATGTTCCAATTTCTCCACCATGAGTTCATCAGCAAGGTTTGTTATTGAAGGTAGCATCCTGATCCTCCCAATATTGACACCTCTCCTCTACCACCTCCCACATATATCTTCCTGTTTGGCAGTGCTAGCATCAAAGTCAAAGAAAGGGCATCAGCTGTAGAGGAGCAGGACTGTGTATATCCACCCCGGCCACATACAGCCATGATGATAGAATGCCCTAAGAGGCCTCGCAACATTCGAGATTTTAGAAACCAGCTCAATATAATTGTAAGATGAGCCAGACTGGGATTTACAGAGTAAAGTCATAAGATATATATTAGTGGAAACAGTAAAACAAGGTCCATCGAATATCTCCAAAAGCAGACAGGACTTATCTCTTGAAGGCCTTATTGGTAAGATATCTGTGCCAAGTTCCCCATATGCTCTCCTGCTGTGACTATTGTAAGGGGCTCTCACCATGCCTTCTTGATCTTTATAATATAGAGAATGCTGCAGGAGGAGTGGGAATAATTCAAGGTCAGAATAAATGGCCTAAACTATTTGAGTGGAGTGACCCTTTAATGTGTAATTACACATCTTGCTGGACTCCCATTAACCCTTAGTAAGGCAAGTGTCAGTGGGTGGGGCTGGG